CTCTGCCAGTGTGTGTGTGTGTGTGTGTGTGTGTGTGTGTGTGTGTGTGTGTGTGTGTGTGTGTGTGTGTGTGTGTGTGTGTGTGTGTGTGTCACTTGGCAGAACCAATATAGTCCATTTGCAGAGGTGTCACTATGCATTCATTTTTAGTAGTACTGGCAGTTTTGGATGTATTACTCATGATTATGCACAAACTGCATACAGCCCAGCCTAACCCTTTCTTCCCAGATACTGAAGAGTTCAGAAAAGAATCTTTAAAATTGAGCATATATATGGATGTAAAGCATAAACCTAGACACAATGAACCTGGAACTCCACAATGTCACATACATGGTGATTTTGCAGTGTACCGTTGTGGGGTTTATGCTGATAAGCTTAGTACAAAATCCAACTCTAAAGCTTATACACAAAATAAAGTCATTTATATGTTACAGCTGTCATGTCAGTTTGTAATACAGAAATGGCTCCACGTGGAAGATCCCTGAGAGCTTTGCATGTTCAAAAATGGGGGAGGAGGTCTGCAGAAATGCAGGGGAGTCAGAGTGAAACTGAAATACTATCCTGGAAGATATGGTGAATCATTTAAAAAAAATTGACAATAAATTAATATTGCTTAGAACAGAAGTAGTAGCAGCAGGACAATATAAATATTTTCATTCATTTGTAAGCAAACAGGGACTCTATACAAACAGTGGAAGTACCAAGGTTTCATCTCAGTTTGCAAGCAGCTTAAAAGAAGTTGCCATACACTTGCTGCCTCAATGGCTCTGACTATATAAGCTCACAGAGGTATGCAGTCCTCCACATCCCAACACAGTCTTCACAACATATATTTTTCCTTTTCATTACATACTTATGCTGCTGATTATTGCAAAACTTCTCATTTCTGAATGGTGGTCTATGCATTACATTAAATTTTGAAGTATATTTTTGTGGCTCCTAGTATTTATTTCCTGCACCTTTTAATACAAAAAGAAGCAAATTGCTATTGCTCTCCTGTTACTAGGCAGAAGCTAAGTGCATGCCTGGATGAACTTGTGATATCTAATATAATTTGTTTAAGAGCTAATCATAATGAAATAAATACAAGTCATGATCTAGAGAACATGGCTGATTCCTCTCCAGTATTTTCACTGGCAGCAATGAAATGGAAACAAACATTTCTGGAGCATTTAATAAAATGCTAACAGGGATGGCTAATATAGGGGGAATGAAGGCATTTTCTCCGTTGTGAAGAGATCAAATAAATAATTAGTTAATTCAGCTAAAAAAGGATAACTCAGCAATTCTGCATTTTATATACCTCTATGGTATTCATTGGTAATTGCTTCAGTTTACTTCATTTTCAGAGCACAGATATAAATAAAAGGTTTTAATGTCCAAAACTTAAGCAACAGACTTTTTATTGTCTTGGATTTGTGTGTATCATGTGAACCAATGGATTAAGTTACAAAACATGACTATCTTACTTAAAAAAGAAAATGAATTTTTAACTATTTTAAGTATCAATTAAATTGAAGCAAACTAAGGGCATTACCTCTGCATGACAGCATCTACGCAGGGGTTTAATATGATTTAACTTCATGCTTCTGATGCATCTGAACCTTTCTGAGATGCCCAATGTGGCTAACACTGCTAACTACATCTCTCCACTGGCATCAGCACTGTAATCTTCTGGGGCAGGTAGAGGGGCAGATGACATAAAAGTTAATACAGTCAGAGATGGGCTACCTTTTCTGGGTAAATTTTCTAAAACAGAGGGAGGAGGAAGTATGAGCCCTTGATCTGTCCGCTTCTGCTCACCACCCTGCCTAGGCACTTTCCCCTCCACAGTACACATGGCTTACCAGAGAGGGTGGGGGACGCGGTTCATAAAAGTCCTCTCCATGCTTGGATCTGATAAAGTGGGGAGCAATCTGACTCACCATCTACCCATAAGCTTCATTTTACTTACAAATCACATTTATACCTCAGAGATGGTTTTTGTCATTTGTCTGCATAACTCCGCTTCATATTTTTCTTCTTGAAGATAACTAGTCAGCACGTCCTTTAAAATATTATTCAATGTACCCACAGGAAAACGTCTTGTAGGACCTGATACACAAAGACATTTTATGTGCCTTAACTGTAAGTCTACATTGAGAATAATGGCATATGCATTGGAATCAAAATGATCAACAAGAGAGTGTTTGAAACGTACAACACAGTGGAAGCCAAGCTTTTGGCAACTGCGTCCTCCTTGAGTGCCGAACTGGTCCCCTTTCCCTGCCTTACTTGCTGCTTTGCTTTTTGCTTCCTGCCCTGTGCTCCCCACCTGATTTCCTGGTCTCTTTCTGCTCCCTTCCTGATCTGCCACTGTATTGCTTATCCCCTCCTCCATCTGCCACATGCCCCACACACACAGCTACCCATAGCACTTGTGTCATAGGTTAGCCACCCTTCTCTTTTTCTCTTGATTTATGGAGACTCAAATTCAAATGCCAGGTTGGGTTATAAATGACAATTAGCATTATGATTCATACTTGTGGTCACTATAATACTAACATGCCAATTTGGCAGGATTTAGACAAGACCCAGGATTGAAATAGTAGGGATACTGAAAATCCAGAATGGGGTGTGCTTTGTTGAATCTTATGGCTAGTTCAAACAGTGTGATATAGTATTTAATTCCAAGAACATAAATTTCCCACAAATTGGGAAAGACAATGATTTTTTAAACTAGAAAATAAAGCATCTTTTAATTTATATTTTGATTTTTTTTAAACTGCAGTAACTAGTGTGCCTCATGTTTGTAATAGATGTATTTGAAGTACAAGACAAGGCTTATAGCTCTTTGGGAATTTTTAATTAAATTCTTCCTCTAGTCTTATTTCCCAGAAAGGCAGGGGCAGCACCAGGGGCCCCAAAATGGGGCTCTGTGGGCCAGATTTGGCCCACGGACCATAGCTTTAACACCCCTGATCTGGTCTGATCTCCTAAACAGCCACAGGCTGCCAAATTTCACCCAGTTATCCTGGTCTGGACCTTTTCCTCTCAGGGAGGAACAGAGGAGGAAGCATTCATTACCTAGTTGGTAAGTGTTCTCCATCTGAACCACAGGACGAGAAAAATCATCATGATGGCCAGGTTCATCCATATAAGACACTGTACTCATGGAGCTGAAGATAATGTAAAAAAGTAAATAGATAAAACTAGTGCATACAGAAATCTATATTAATTAATAAGACTGCATTAATGGACTCCATTTTCAATGGAAGTTTTCTGTCTAAGAAAACCCTTCTGCTATGTTCATACTTGCCTGTAAAAATGAGGTCAATGAAGAATCTCTTTCCACAGGTCATTCATTACCTGATAAAGAAAAATGCTGCCCTCCAGTGGAATATGACACCAAAATAACTGAATCGGCGTGTGCACAGAATATATTTACAAGGAAGAACAGATGAATAATTTCAAAGGGCATATGTAATATTTCTCCAAATCCTACTTGCAGCTTCTGTTTTTTAAATTAAAATGCCTTTAAGAAAAAATGTATTTTAAATTTGCTGTCTGTGCTGATTGGAGTAGAATGAATCAAATAATCACTTCTTTAAAAAAAATACTGTATTTACCTGAATCCAAGATGGCTTTGAATTTAAGACAATCCTCCAATAAGTAGATTCTATACATGGAAAATTTATAAAACTGTTATAATATTCCATGTATAAAATCTAATTATTGGAGGGGGGTCTTAAATTTGTCCCTGCCACCGCTGCAGCAAGATAAGCATTGGCAGGGGGTTAGGTGGGCAGGCAGTGGGGGGATAGGTAGCAGGGGAGTCAAGTGGCCCATCCCCCATCTCCTACCTGCCCCCCAAGTGCCTGTGTGCCCCAGCTCCTGCTGTCCACACAATGACTGCACCCCCTGGCATCTACCTACCTCACCACCTCTGCCCCTGCAATTACTGCTTACCCTCCAGCTCTGGCCCAGGACACAGAAGCACATGTTCAGTCTGGCCATGGCCTGGTCCGACAGCAGGAGTTGCGGTGACATCTCCAGCCCCAGAGCTGAAGCCGTGGCCAGAGCTGCCACCACCACCACTGTGTGGCTTGCTGCCAGTCGGAGTGACCATGCTCCATACCCCAGGTCCCAGTGGAGCTAGAGCTGGAGTTGCAAAGGGTAAGTGGTGGCAGGGGAGTCAAGTGGCCTGTCCTCTTTCCCCTACTGCCTGTCCTGCCTACGAGTTACGTGCCCCCCCCCAAACTCCTGCCTCTGGTGCCAGCGTACCCCAGCCCGGGACACAGAGTCGCAATAAAATTAAAAAAGATGGCTTGTATCTTCCTGGCTTGATCCCAGGTCATCCAGCACCTTGCTAATCCAGTGGTTCTCAAGCAGGGCAGTGGTGCTGCGGCATGGGCCCTGCCACCATGGGTGTTGCAGCAGGGTGAAATTGCCCTGTGTGCCGCGTAGGGAGCCAGACAGGGAAGTGGTGGCAGCAGGAGATAAACTTAATGCAGGCAGGAGCATCTGCTCCTGCCCAGCCCGTCCCCACACGCTCCTCTTGGAAACATGGGATGGTTCCAACTGGCAGCGGTGTGGCAGTCTGGGAAACCACAGGCACATTTCCAGCACCCACCGACCGCCAAGTGAAACTATACCATGCGCCTGTTTCTGGGAAGAACGTGGGATCGGGCTGGGAAAGGCTGCAGCAGGAACAGATTGCTGCATTAGTTTTACCCAACGAGTGTAACAAAGGTTGAGAACCACCGCACTATTTATCTTTAGGAACAAGAGCTGAGGCTAAGTATGGACTTTAACCCACCACCAAGTACAATTTTTTCAAGTAATCCCAAAAGCAATTGTGATTTAGTCAACATTTACTTTTCGTATCGCTCTAGGTTCAGATTAACATGGCCCAAAACCGATTAGGAGTTCTTTTCATCTAGTGAAATTGCTACGATAGAAGAAGGAAACCAAACCCATTTGTCGTCTGAACTAGAGAACCACCAGCCCTCCTGTGCCAGGGAGGCTTCTCCGCATGCTGCCTCTCTGTCACCTGCCGGGCCCGCGCCGGCCTAACCCGAGAGAGAAGACGGCAGGTACTCACTCCTTGTGTCTTCTAAAGACATCTTTCGCTTTGACTTCGTGGCTGCTAAGCGAGGAGACACTGCCTTGCTTCTTCAAGAGGCGAGCTGCCTTCTCCTTCGCTAGGTCCGACATGTCTGTTAGATACGAGGAGGCAACACGCAGAGCCCTGGAGACACGGGCAGAACCGGGGGCTACATCTTAGTAAATCAAGCAGGTGAAGGCAGGTGATCTATGGACCAGGGGGAGGATTTTACACCTTTAGGAGGCGATGGCTGCACCGCTCAGGGCGCTGCATCCCTGGGGCTGCCTGGGGACCCGCTCCCTGGCACATCACCCTGCACCCCCGGGCGCTCAGCCCGGCTCCCCGCGGCTCACCTGGGCCGGGCCCGGCAGGGCAGAGCCGGGCTGGCCGCGGGTTTCTAGGGTTACGGCCAAACACCGCCCTCGGCTCTGGGGCGGGACTGCACCGCCCTCATCGCGGCCCGCCCGCACCGCCCGCCTGCGGCCCCGCACAGCTGCGTGAGCAGCGCCAAGGCAACGAGCCGCTTGGAAGGGCCCGGGGGGCGGGGCCTAAGGGTGCGTAACGCACCTTCACTCGAGTACGGCCGGGCCCCTGAGGCGCGGCGCCGGCATGTGTGTCCATGGCGAAACGCGCGGCCGCGCTGGCACAACGGCTGCGGGGCTCATTTGAACTAAAACGCATCCGAGGTGTTTCAGTTAAAGAGCGCGCAGCGGCCCCAGGCCCTCGCGCCAAGGTGATCGTCACGGGGATGGGGCTGGAGGTGACCTAAAGGTGCGTCTACACCTCCACTTCAGCACTTCAGGTAACACACGTTAAATCTATCTCCAGGCATTTGTCCACGTTTACAGGGCAGCGCCAGGCATTTTTAAAAGAACCTGCTGCTGCAGTGCACACACTTGTATAAACAGCATATTGCGTGTCTAAAACGCACTGAAGGTGTTTTAGTTTAAGTACGTGCCATTTTCTCAGTGCCGATGTGCATTTTGCCATTTATACGAATGCGCCGGGCACGTTAACTGAGTCTGCTCCAATACATTTACGCTGATGCACCGGAGAGCCGGTGTATGTGTATAAGCGCCCTCCGTTGTGAGGTACTAGAAAAATGCGCAATAGCCTGGCTTAATGTGCATTAACTGAAGTACACACTTTTAAAGTGATGCTTAATGCGCATTAGCTTATGTTAATGTGCGTTAAGTAAAACGTGTGATCCTTTAACGTGCATTAAAATAGGTTATTAGAATAGGTGCATTAAAGCGCATGTGTATAGATGTGGTCTAAGAGACCAATCCCTGCTCCACAGACCTGTCTACAGGAGGTGCAGGTCTTTTCTTAGGGCAGAGCAGGCTAGGATGCCTCTTTTCTTTCCTCTCCTGTCTTCTCTACTTTGAGGGCAAGATGCTTTACCTCAAAAGGTGCTGCATCTTGGCTGAGGTTGCAGCACCATTGGAGTCTGGCAGAAGTCAGCTTCTCCCGGTTCTTGATGTGGGCATCTGTTTTCTTGAGGTCTGCCTTCATTGTGTCCTTGCAACATTTCCTCTGGCCACAGCAAGATTAAATTTCCCTATCACACAGTTTAAGAGCCAAGCAAAAACAAGGCTACCGTTACTGCCATGTGCTTTTGTTTGCCGTATTGTATCTTATGGCTGAAAACACAACGGAATAGGCACAGGTCCAAAGGAGTTGTCTCATTAGTCCTGCAGCCATTACGATGACATGCACATCTTTCAGAAGCACAAGAGAAAATTGAGCTTTCTTGAGCATTTTGGCAGCGCACCCCATGCATCACTGAAAGTTATTTCTGTACCTGAGTTAATGCTCGCGTGGGTTAACGTTTCCACACCTGAAGTAATGTTTTTGGCTAGATTTAAAAGCAGTCTGCAGGGCTGTGAGGTAGGACCCACCTTACCAAGAGCAGCCATCAGACAGCTGCAGTTCAGAAGAAAGGCTGGCTTGATTCGTGGAACATCAAGATGATTAAAAACAATAGAGGGGTATTAACAGTTGTGGAATGAATAGTTTAGAAGGGATCAGGTAGATTATAAATGATCCATGAGCTCAGCCAACTCCCTCATTGCTGCCTGACCAGAAATGCTGCCTCCTGCCAGGCACTTGGTGTTAAATTTCGGGTGAAGCGGGAATCTGCAAGGGGGGCAGGGGGAGGCAGCAGGGGCTAACTGCACCTTCCTGGATCGACGCCTGCTCAGCTATGCTGTCCATGCCTCTCAACAAACTACCCCCTCTGATTCCATGCAAGCCCCTGTCCCACATCCTGGCTCTGGCTCCTGCAGTGATGCTTGCTTTCCTGTGAGTAGGTGAGCTTCGCATGGAGGCCTGGACTCGGGACAGACAAGGAGAATGATATAGGGGCAGCATAGGACACAAAGGCAGTGCATTTTGTAGCTGGCATAACCATTACCCAGAAGCCCAGGGCAGTGCAAGGGAGCAGCAGGAAAACGAAACAGGGATGGAGTGGAAGGTTAAAAAATTACAAAGAAAATTAGCAGCTCAAAACCTTGGTTAATGTAGAGCCCAGTGTCTCAAGGCCTTTGCCTGTGGGGAGCAGCTCAGCACAAACCAGCAATAAGGAAGTAAAGCAATCAAGAGGTGCATGCTGCCTCCTCAATAAACTTGGCAATACCACACATACAAGCACTGGGCCCTTATACGTGTTATGGGCCACTTCAGGAAAATAGCAGAGATCTCTAATTAAGGAGAAACCTTTAGCTATGAAAAATGGGAAAGAGTGACCAAAAATCCTAAATATTCAAAGATAACCTTACAAAATATTCTAATGAGCTTTAAGTGTGTGGAAAGACTGATTAAGGAGTATGTTATTGTTTTACTGAGATTGATAGAAAGGAACAAAATTATTATCTGGCGTGCAACATTTCTTAAAGGACCCATTTTTGATTATTTGTAACATCTACACTTAAATTATTTCATTTGCACACTCTCAGAAAATTTGTTTCGCAGAATGTGCTATAAAATTTTGAGGAAGTTATACTGTATTTTTCATGCATAACAGGATTTAGTTCCTCCTGTAATGTATAGTATTTCACCTTCTGCTATGAAACTACGAACCCTTACCAGTTTCTAGCTCCATAAGACAACCACAGCAGCCTTTCTGAATAAAAGTTACGTGCATATTAATGATGCATACTTGCCTACAACTCAAATCAAGTCTAAATACATGCAAGGTAAAAACTGAATATTTCTAAATGCTGTATCATTTCTATTTAGAAGCAAATATTACCAAAAACTCTACCCAACAATTCTGCAGCATCACCAGCTACATATTGAAAAAACAGGGCAGGACTATAGATCTTGTCATTCTTCAGTATTAAACAACGAAAAGGGACTAAAATAAATACATATATGTACCTGGTAGACAGACCATTATTTTCAGTTTCAAGGAAGAAAGATGATTGGTTCCAATCCCCTATCACATGTCCAAATGTGTAATTGCAATAGAAATGCTACTCTTGAATACTAAACTGATCCCAAAAAGATAACAAAAATGCATATTTTCATGTTTTCATTTATTTTCAAGAAAAAAATCCTCACATTTAAATTACAACATAATCAGATATTTCATTTCATTCTTATGTATAGAATTAATAAACTTTGTTCAGAAGTGGGGATTTATTTGCTGTAATATTATGTATGGTAAATAATTGCATATTCAGGATTTTGTGAAATGGGTGTTTGGGAAAAAAAACCATGAAGGAAAAACATTTATAAAAAACATTATTTACAAAAATGATATCCACATATTTGTATCCTAATCTATAAGGCAAGTAACATTTAAAATATGTTGTTTCATGATTATCTTCAACAAATCAGTACAACACATTCATATTACCAGTGGTCAATACAAAGTTTTGCTGCCGTATTTCATATGCAGCAAACCTTTACACCTTTTGCAATTTTTCTCTGAGAACATTAGATAAGCAGCGAAGTTTTCATCACAGACTAAGCAGTAACTAGGGCATCATAGACTAAAGGTATAGTATATTTCATTGCATGTGTAGGCTGAAAAGGCCAGACATTAAACTTTTTAACTTAAATCTTAAAAATATACTTGTGTATCTTAATCCACAAATATTTATAAACACTTTATACACAAAGTATTTTTTAAAAAATGATATAGTTTAATATAGGGCGATATCCTGGGAATTCCAATCCACTTCTGTTGTTTAGCTTGGAGATTACGGGCATTATAACAACATAACACATAGGGCCTATGCCCATAAATATTTCCACATATGGTTAAAGTTTAGTCATGTGTTAAGTTCCACTGACAAACACAGAAACATTTGCAGAACTGGGGCTTTGCATCTTAAATTTAATAATTTGACTCAATGTACCCCCCTCTCCCCATGACAACAAACATTTAGATAGAATTTCTTTGACCTAAAGTAAAGGCATGTTCTTCATCTTTCAAAATTCCTGAACTTTACATAAGACACCCGTATTATGTTCATTTTCTTAGGTATCCGGGGGGGCGGGGGGGAGAAAGGCATGGTTTTAAAATACTGCATATTTCAATTAAGAATTAAACTGCAGTATCTCTTTTATACATCAGTCAAATTTCAAACAGGAGAATAATGTTAAATCTAATTCCTCCATTAAAGTTGATTCGATCACATACTGCTTGGCCTGTAGTGAAGTCCTGCTTATATGTAAACCTTTGAACAACATCACCACATTAACACTTGCAATTTTCAAGCAAAAACTGTTTAGCAGCAATATCTGCACTCCCACCAAAGATAAAAGTGGAGGTCACACAAGGAGAGTTCCCTTGCCTTACATTTTTAAAGCAAAAAAAAAAAAAAAAAGTCAATCTCCACAAGATTTATTTTCCTAGGAAGCTTGCAAACAAACAAGAATTTTGGCTTAGGAATAGTCTTTTTGAGACGGCAATATCCTTATGCGAATATACCAATTATTTGGATATCACCTCTTTCTGTCAGGGAAAGCTTTAAAATGGAGATTTTAAATAAGTGTGTATGTTACAATGCCCATTACAACAAAAGAATGGGAGAAGGAATTCTGTATTCTGGTTTCCCCAAGTCTACATTTGAGTGTGGCAGTATTTTGTACTCTATTTAGAAAAATGTCAAGCTATTCAGAGTTCCCCCGTACATGCAGAATTGTGACATACTTGTCCATGAAGTGCACATACGCATAGAGACTGCACCTCCATGTCAAGTTGCTGTAAAACTGAGGAACAAAATTCAGATGAAAAGTCTGAAAACCAACATCGCATTTTTATATTACATTGTAAACTTCTACTAAAAGATGC